TCCCCCAAGGGATATTTGGGATTGTCTGGAGACATTTTTGATTGTCACAACTCTGGGAATGAGTACTGTTGGCATCTAGTGGGGTAGAGGCCACAGATGGCACTAAACATCCTAAAATGCACGCCCCCCCCCCCACCACAATCAAAGAATTATCTGGGCCAAAATGCCAGTAGAGCTGGGCTGAGACACCCTGCTATAGGTAAACACCAGGTGGATGGATGACTTAGCAAGCCGACTTCTGGGCGCAGAGGCCACCTGAAAAAACGCAGCACTGATTTCTCTTCACACAACCACCATTTGGCAAAGCCATTATCTGAATTGCTTGGGTAACATGCTTCAGGTTACGTGACAAGCAGAAAAATAAGCATAATAAACAAGATACATAAACAGATGGAAACTATGAGCCTTGATGACTATCATTAGGACTGTGATCCTAGGGAAGGAAAAGCTAGAATACTTACAGCCAAGTTAGATGATGTAAGTCTTTGAATACTCCAGGTCTGAGAGTTGTAATGCAGTTGTGGTTGAGATATCTACAAATAGCATGGGTGAGTAAACGAGGCAAACTTAATACTCCACTTTAGTCACATATAATAACTGGACATCTGTTTCTGAAAGCACTCTACTGGATGAGCAGGGGCCAGAAAATCAAAGAACAGGCAGGAGATACAGATAACCAAAAGCCCAGTGTGACAAGCACCAGGGCCAGGACCAGGAAAGTGGCCAAAAATAATGTATTGGGACATTGTATTATGTTAGAGTGTAACGGTAGAATAAATATGTGAGGTGATTTTTGCTTTTGTCCTTTTGGTCACATCCTTAGTAGACTAACATTTTAAGAAAGTGTATAGGTAAGTTATATATTTTCTATTTGTGGAAATGACCCAAACTTGAGGAGACAAGATTTAAGAGAGCCTTCAGACCTGTCTTCTGGTAAAACTTGGAATTTTTTAGCAGTTCTTTCAATGTAATAACTAATTACACTGAACTTTGTGAAAACTTATTTCTCCCATTTCTCTATATCCAAAGTCGAGCCTTTAAAAAAGTACCATTCATTCTACCCTTTTAATTGTTACTTAATATTGTACTCATAATTATAAAGAAGTTACTCACAGTATTTGCAGATTATGTAATCCAAAGAATGCTTTCCTGGATATATGTCTAATACAATTATGCTGAAGGAATCTGGTAGGAATAAGATAGAAGAGCCATGTGATTATGGTTCATGTATTTGTTAGGCTGTTTCTTCACCTGAAGACAATTTGTGCACCTGGCTCATAAAGTCCTATCTTATTCTCATGTTGGGAGGTAGGAGCATTGCCAATGAGAGAAGGCTGTGAGCCTAGCTGTGCCTGCTGTCCTGACAGCGCCCGTGCAATGAGACCCCGACATCTCTGACTTGAACCACTGAGGTCCAGCATGCTGTGTGTGGGGACAGAACTAGTCTTATTTCTGCAAACTGGCATTCTGGTGGCCTTCCTTCTCTGACATGCATGGTTGCCCACCAATGTGAGACTAGCCAGGCTCTCACTGCTGAGCTTTCTTGCTCTTTCAGTACAGAGTTCCACCTTCAACTCCTCATTTCTCTTCATTCTATTCCCATGAAACGAGGTGAGGGCAAGTCTCCTTCTGTTTCAAGATGCAGAGTGAGAAGGGTGCAGCTAGTTAGAGAGGGGCTCAAGGTTGCAAATGGCATCAGTGGCTGAACTGGGGCCAGTGTACCAACTTCAGCTCACAGGGCCATGAGCTACTTAACCGCTGAAGCAATGTAGCAAGAGTGTATGGATTCAATAATAGCACTTTCAGGAGTATCTAAGTAAACAACTTCCATTTCCTGTGCTCATTATATTAATACAATGGGAGGTTAGCCTTGATTTCATATTTTCTAAAGAACTTTAGGCAGGAAATATTCACGCTATTAATAGTAACTAATGTCTACATAATCTTCTGAGTGGCTTCCCTATCTCTTATTTTGATTTGATTTGGGTCCTGAAGTTTTGTTTTGATTTGTTTTGCTTTTGGCCACGTGGCTTGTGGGATCTTAGTTTCCCCAACCAGGGACTGGACCCATGCCCCCTGCAGTGGAAGTGCAGAGTCCTAACCACTGGACCGCCAGGGGATTCCTGCTTCCTAAAATATTTTACACTTTCTCATTGTTAGGATACTTCACTGCAAAACTATTGGTAGATCTTTTGCTTGTTCGGCATCTGGCTGTACTCTGAATTTTGTTACACCACAATTATTCCCAGCGAAGCTTCCCAGCCTTTGAGCCATGACTGCATTGTAGCTGTGCTGGGATATCCATGTCCTCAGCCCACAAGGTGGCAAAGTAAAGCCAAGATTAGCTTCCAGTTATTAACAAACCCATCTTTTATCCCAAATATTGAACAAATATTGTCATTTTCTCTGTGTACCACCATGTGGAAAAGCTACGTACTACAGAGCACATGCATGAGTGACACACAAAGCAACAATTTCAATCCTACAGAGTAAACTTGAAAACCCTGTAAGAACTCGTGCCATTCCATCCCCCTCTCCCTGCTGCAACAGGAGATGCTTCACACTGTAGCATAAATTCTGCTTTTGCTTTAAAGTTCTGCTATGAATAGAATGAACCCATACATATCAATATCTGTTTTAGCATTTTCAGAGCCCTTAGAGTGATGTAATGAAAGTTAATATGGTGAATTATATTACAATAGCAAATGAAAATAGAAAAAGAATATAATACCATAATCTACATATTTGAAGTTCCTCTTAAATATAAAATTTACTACCTAACTAGTGTTATTTACACTTCATTTAAGATAATTAAGTCGAAAGTGCACTGCGCATTTTACCTACACGTTGTCAATCTTGAAGAGATGGGGGCAGTTGTAAACTGTGAATTTGACCTTGTGCTTTTGATCTGCACGACTCACCTGATATGTTCAGTCTATCTGCCTTCACTGACACCAGTTAAGACTCCAACTTCTTAAATAATAAAGAAGCTCTAGTCTTCTATTTAGCCAGTTTGCTGGCACCCCACGGAGAACTAGAGTCCCAGGTCTCTCATCTCAGACTTAGGCTGCTGAATTTTTTAACTTGATCTTTCAGTATCTGCTTTCTTCTTTACAGAATAGTAGCTTGGTGAATATGAGGGGAAATTTGGAAACATGACAATTTGGCAAGTGGTGTCCTCTTTTTCTTCACAGCTGAGATATGAGCCCGTTTGATATACTTTACACTGAATGGTTCTTCTAAGAATAACTTACTGGTTCATGAATTCCTGCTTTTTCAGCTGTCAGGACTTTTCAAGCAGAAACGCCAGGAATTTATGTACCTGAAACTAAAGCAAATAAATGCTTTAATGGCATGCATGTTTATAGGCTATTTTTTTAATGCAACATTTTGTATTCATGAGCCAGGCAGACTCCTTGAATTACATTTTGTTGCCAATGATTGCGCTGAACAGGAACCCAGTTTAAGAAGGAATTCCTAATTTATATAAAATTTATGTCACAGTGAGGAGAGGAACTGCTACTGGTTTCCGTGGTAGCAGTGATGAAGTGCTATGGTCAAGCTCATAAACTGTATTTTATTTCTTTCTCTCAAACTGGTTCATGAATTCCTGCTGTTTCAGCTGTCAGGACTTTTCAAGCAGAAACGCCAGGAATTTATGTACCTGAAACTAAAGCAAATAAATGCTTTAATGGCATGCATGTTTATAGGCTATTTTTTTAATGCAACATTTTGTATTCATGAGCCAGGCAGACTCCTTGAATTACATTTTGTTGCCAATGATTGCGCTGAACAGGAACCCAGTTTAAGAAGGAATTCCTAATTTATATAAAATTTATGTCACAGTGAGGAGAGGAACTGCTACTGGTTTCCGTGGTAGCAGTGATGAAGTGCTATGGTCAAGCTCATAAACTGTATTTTATTTCTTTCTCTCAAAGATCATCTTAAATTGCTTCTTACCCCCTAATGTCAGAAAGTTTAAAAGAATATTAAAAAGAATAAACTGATCCCTAGTGAAAGCATTCAGATAAGTGACATTTGTTCATCTAGCAATTAACATTTTATTTTGACTTAGGAATTTCTTTTTCTGGATGCCGAAATGACCTTAATTTCACTGTGAATATTTAGAGCATGCAAGACCGGAGACGCACTTGACGTTAAATTGGGTGATCCCTTAGGATATATCCCAATACAACTTAAAGATGCATGTCAACTTTATAAGCTCAATACAATCTAAAACACATATTCATGCATGTCTTTTCCCTGGTCAAACAGAATAAAGCCCAGATGCTCTAGCCTAGCGTTCAAAGGCCCTACAATCATGATTCAATGACCTCTCCCGCATACACTCCATCATTCCTGCAGGAACTCGTTTCCTTTAGACAAACTTCCCTGGTCACTCTCTTCCTAACATCCTTTGAGTGTTTCTGCTTATGCTTTTTTGGTCCTCCTTGCTGAAGATGCGCCCCACCTTCTCTTTAGCCCTGTGTGTTAGTCCTACACATCATTCCTGTAACAAATGCACACTTATCCTCATATATGTTTCAGCGTATGTGACAATGAGAGGTGCTGGCAGTGGCGGTACATGGTATTAGGAGAGAGCCAGAGGACCATCCAGTTCAGGAAGAGGATAGTATGGTCATAAGGGGTTTCTTCAAAGTCCAGGGATGAAGGTGAGGGGTTCACCAAATGGAATCATAATGGAAAGAATGACCTAAGACATGTTCAAAACTCAGACAGTGAAGAATACAATGGGCAGTAGAAATGAATTTCTAGTTATAGTTTGGAAACAAGAAAATGCTAAGGAAAAGCCCAAGCCTGCTGTGTGGGACATGTTTTATATTATCATGAAATAATAAAACAATATAAATTTTCAACTCCTACATTGTTCTTGTCTTCTTGGTCAATGAAGGTGATCTCAGGACTGAAGCGAATAAATAGGATACAGTATTGTGGCAGTGAAAGACCAAAATGATGGAATAAGTTAATCAAAATGAGTTAAAGCCTCTGGTTTGGACAGTTGCTCCTGGAAACTGAGAAACACTGAAAATGCGTACTCTCAGTCGTGATCAGTGGAATCTGGAGAAAGGAAGAGAGGCTGGAAAATGAAAGGTGGCAAATGCCGTTTTGATTTTCCAACAGGTAAGTAGATTTCACAAGCTATAGTTGGATGAGCTTGAAGTTGGTTCTGGGCGAGATCGTAGGACAGGATATTATGATGCTGCTTTGTGAGCACCTCAGAGAGAACAGGAACAGGGCAGTTCACGAAAAACAGGGCGTGTCAGACCAACTTGATTTTCTTCATTCAAAGACTGATCAGATAAAAATGTGTGGTCGACTTTGCTTATATGTCTACCAGGCATTGATTAAGTGGTTTTATGATGCTTTTCTAGACAAAATAAAGAATACTGGCACTGTCTTGCTCAATATTCTGCTCCATGACTTAGGTAAAGACAGCTCATCTTATTTTCAGATAACAGAGTGCTGGGATGAAGAGTGAATCTGTTGGATGAGCCAAAAAGGTCTTCCCAGTCTGGTAAGAAAAGCTGAATCTAACAGGGTGAAACTGAATAGGGATAAGTCTGAAGTGCCACAACTAGCTCTCAGGTGCTAAGCGCGCAAGTACAGGATGGACAAGCTGTCACTTGTCAGTTCTGCATATGGTACAGGATGAGGGATTTTAGAGACACAATCACTAGGAGTTCAGAGTATGAAGTATAGCCACAAAAAGAACAAGTGTAACCTTAGGGCATAAGGAGTTTAGAAAGGAAGGGTTGCTAGCTTCCCCCTGTTCTGCCCTTGTATGTGTCATACAAGTGATAATATTACATTTATTCTAGATACTACACGTAAGGAATACGTAGGTGGCCACATACAGAGTGACAAACAGATTTGGAACCAGGCCCTTTGGGTAAGAAGTTAAGGATTCGAGGCTGCATGGGGAGAAACCTGTGGTGGGGTGCATGGTGATAATGGCCAGCTTTGAATATCAGAGGAGTTACATAGAAGACTTATTGGGTGTGTTCTGATCAGTCTCCTGGGGTAAAGCTCAGAATCACGGGGAGCTTTTCAGACGTTTTGGGCAGTAGTAGAGTTATGTGACAGGACAGTTTATTTGCCTATCGTTTGAAATTCCTTTCCCTCAGCACCTCCTAATTCCCTTCCTGGTTTATTTTTTTCCCCCATAATCACTATCTAACACACTACGCCTTTTTATCTTTCTCCATGGGAAGTTGGGCTCCTTGAGGAGAGGGCTTTCCATATGTGTTGTTTACCGCTATATCCTTGACACCTCATAGGTATCAATAAATATTTGTTGAAAGAATGAACGAACGTGTGGGCTTGGCCAGCTTGTACCCTCCTGCTGTCTCTTCCAAGAGTTCTGGGGTTGTCCATCTAGTTTCCTCCTTCCCCTGACACCTCTTCCTGGGGATGGTTTGTGTTTTGCTACGTTGGTTGTTTGGACTGTTGTAATGCAGGATCAGGAAGAAAAGGGACAGGACAGGACAAGGGCTTGCCTGACGCTGGGGAGATTTTTCTGCGGGCTCCGGAGAGTGACAGGAGGAGCTGAGTGGTATGCAAAGGGGATGGGGGAGGGGAAGGAGATTTAAAGAAGAGTTGCTGAGCTTATGAACTGCTTTAGGATATTTGAATAATGTTTATAAAGAACTTCGGTTATTTTGAAACCAAAGTTTGCTTTCTGGACACTTTCATCGATGGTAACAATATTCTGAGATCGACCCATGTGGGTGGACCTCCAGAGGACTACAGTCAGAGGTCTGGCTTTGAAGCCAAGTTCTAATACTTGTCAGCTGGCTGACTTTGGACAAACAACCTCTCTTCTCCAAGGATGGTTTCCTCATTCCTGAAAGGAACCTGACGCTGTCTGCCCTACCTCACAGACCTTGAGGGTCAAAGTCCAAATGAGAATTCCAAATTTTGGAAGTCTTTGTCAACTTTAAAAAGTGATAGAGGGATGTAAGAAATTGCGTTTAATCCCCCTTGATGTGCCTTGCATGTAAGAGACACTTGGTGAATGCTTATTGATAAGAGTCTTATAATTTTTTTCTCTCTGAGTCTCTGGGAGAATCAAATTGCCTCGAAAGCATCAAATAACAGCTTGCATTAAGAGAACCCCTGCTGAGTGATACTCAGGTTATGATGTGGTACCTACGTTTTCTCAGACTTTGGAGAAATTCAACATTTAATTGGAGAAATTTCCGGCTGATCTGGGCAATCTGGTGGGAAAAAAATCTCTACTTTTTTTTCACTAGGAAAAATTGGGGCCTGTATTATCAATAGCGCTTCCACGTTCTTCCCTTCAGTGGGCTACCAGATACCGAGAGAGAAGTATTGACACAGAACAAAGCTATGAATCAGTGGTCCAGGGAAGGACTTGGCCCGTGAAGTCTAATTTTAAATCTCCTTGCTTAACCTTCTAGTGATACCTCTGCCTCCCCAGAAGTCAGCTTTCCCCAAATTCGGGGGCAAAAAAGATACAGAAGGGGGTCCTGCGTGGGACAGAAGACTCAGTTAGATGCTAGAGCAATTTCTTTCCATCTCTAGGTTTCTGGTTATTGTAGAATAAACACTGCACTGGGCACCAGAAGATATGGGCGTAAATTCTAGCTCTCCTACTAGTTAGTTGTAGATCTTAGGTAAGTCATTTAACTGTTGCAGACTTTAGTTACCTTGTAAATAATGAGAAGACTTAATTAGGAATTCACAAGACTTCTCTGACTCTAGATAACGGTTTTAAACAGCTGCTCTAAAACATGAATATTTTTCCTTCCTTTCTGCTAGGCTCTTTTAGTTTTCTTCCCTTCAGCATTATTCAGGGAGGGCAAGGACAATACTGATTTGTAGAAATGAACAGGCTGTGATTCTAAGCATTTCCAGTAAGACCAGAAGCAGTATAGTTAAGATTTCTTCTCTAGAGGAATCTGGAACCCCAGAGCCAATGCATAGCTACTCCAGGGGACAATAACAACAGGACCACATTCTCCAGGATGGAGAAGAAGGAGCTCACTGAATCACGGAGGCTACAATCAAACACAGGCATGATTCTCCATGTTCACACAAGATTCTTCCTCGCTAATGGACTTCTTTCAGGGGCTTCCTTTCTTGTATAAGGGAGTCTGTACCTAAATTCATGAGCAGCACAGAACCGTTGATGGCATTTCAAACCAAATGTGTTTGTCCAGTATCAGTAAAGGATCAGATTATTTTTTATCCTGGATTTTTAATATATATCACATTTCTAGAAACTTTCCCTTCTATTCTGAATGTTAAAGGGCAAAATTGTAAGATGACGGTACTACTTAGGGGCCTTACAACATTGTCTTGCTAATTTTCTAATCTAGTCTAATGATCACCTTGGCAATTGCAGAAAGTTGACCTCTCCATTATCCCAGAGTGACTCAGGCTCAGAGGGACTGACGCAGAGTAACCAAACTCTCAAGAGGTTGAATATTTAATTGCTTATTTATTTATCTATCTATCTATCTATCTACCTACCTATCTATTTATTTATTGGCCACGCCATGCAGCATGTGGGATTTCAGTTCCCCGACCAGGGATGGAACCCATGCCCCCTGCAGTGGAAGTGTGAAGCCCTAACCACTGGACTGCCAGGGAATTCCCAATTTGCTTTATTTAAATAGGATGTATTCCATTCCACTAATTAGAATGTTATTATTCCCCATCCAAGGTAACCTCCCAGATACTTTAGTATGAATAATTTAGGAAGTTAATGTAGTCATCATAAGGTTGATTGATGAGCAGGGAATCAAAACAAAGAGATTCTCCATCTTGATATGAACCTTGTCACAGTAAAGTTCATGGGAGTTATGGTGGAGATGCACAATCCATCCCTGCCCCCCAACAGAGACTATCTCTAGGGATTGTATCTCTCAGATCCTGGTTTTCTTTTTTTGATGATGCTGGAAGCATCCTGACACTTTGTTTCTCATGGCTGACCTTGTCCTATTTGTTATTTTCTTTCCTCAGATATGCTAATATCACCGATTTCACCAAGATCGTGTTTTTGCTCTTTTTGTCCTGGGAGACAGTCCATATCCTATAATTGTATGTTTTAAATGATGGTTCTTGTCTATGCTAACACTCTTCCAGGTTAAAAAGTGCATCTAGTGCCTCTGAATCTGCAATGTCATTTTCCAAATGATCTGGAGTAAAACCGTGGAACTATGTATTTTCTTACTGAGATGCTCAATCCAGTTTAACTCTCTACGGAAGGTTTAAGTAAAACCAGTTGTTATTTTAAATTATGAAATGGAAAGAAAGCATACTTTTCAATGCTTAAAGGTAATCAACCTTGTATTTCATTTTACTCTTAGATTAAAAACATCTTAAACAAAACATCCCATAGATTTTCCCATAAAAACACTATTAATAGCTACTTACATCTTTTTAAGTTCTGTGTATTTGATGAAAACTTTATCAGAAAGACTGTGAATACTGTTTTTCTTAAGAGACCTAAAAAAACATGGAAAGAAAACGTTATTATGGATTTTATGACCAACCAAACTCTTCCCTAGAAGCTGCATGCTTGAGAATATTTGATGATGCTCCATACTACGTCACACACGTTTGAAAATGCCCATAATAAATAAGAACCTTCATGTGAGAACGAAAAGTCCATAAAGCAAAATTAAAGCAGTTTTCAAATATCTGACAAGGTTAGCCAGTTAGTGCAATATGATAGACTGGAACATCTATGGTGATTTAACTTTTTCTTCTCTAGATAATTTAACAAAACACAACAAAAATCCTAACCAAGTCATGCATGCCCAAATTATGATATGTCCGCAGGCAAATTCCTGAGGCTCTCAAGACTTCTATGCAGAGTTCAGAAAAACCTGCACAATTATGTCACAGCTAGCTTCGTGGATCTTTTATACCTTAAAGTCCTGGACAAATTACCACTATTTAAAATGAGATAGAATAAGTGAGTACCTTTCCTTTTTTTTTCAAATTCTTATTTTTACTTGTATAGTACTGGCATATTAGTAATAATACATGAATTGGAAATTGAAAATAACTCCAGGCCACAGATGTTTGTGAGCTAAACGATAACCTGGCTAATCTAACAAACAGTGTTTAAAACACTTTTTCCCTGGAGAAGAAGCCTGCAGAGTTCTCTGATGGCTGGTGGTTTTAAAGGGACTTTCTATGATTTTGCTAATATATAAGTAGCATAAAACAGAACAAAGAGAGGTTAGATTAGAGTACACGGTTTTCATGTGACTGCAAGAGCAAATATCAAGATTTGAATTTTACTCACAGTAATGTCACATTGCTGGAAACGGTTGGCACAGACGTCAAGCCAGCATTTATACATTCCAACTCAGTTCCTTTGCAGTCACAGCGCTGTGGGCACTCATTTAAAACTAGGGGGCAAAAAGAGTAACGATTCAATAGGAAAAAAACCCTCTTTAATTATGACTTTATTTCTAATAACTGGCATTGTTCTTTTTCCACTGAATGTATAACATTCACATCTTGTTAAATGAACTTATTCTGGCCCATAATAAAAGCAAACAAGAATTTTCTCCTGGTCAAATATAGACTTGGGACTTCCCTGGTGGCACAGTGGTTAAGAATCCACCTGCCAATGCAGGGGACACAGGTTCGAGCCCTGGTCTGGGAAGATCCCACATGCTGCAGAGCAACTAAGCCCGTGCGCCACAACTACTGAGCCTGCGCGCTAGAGCCCACAAACCACAACTAGTGAGGCTGCGTGCTGCACCTACCGAAGCCCGCATGCCTAGAGCCTGTGCTCTGCAACAAGAGAAGCCACCGCAGTAAGAAGCCTGTGCACTGCAACAGACTAGCCCCTGCTCGCCACAACTAGAGAAAGCCCGTGCACAGCAGTGAAGACCCAACGCAGCCAAAAATAAATAAATAAATAAAGTATGAAAAACAAAACCAAAAACAAATATAGACTCATGTGGTATTCATCTCAGTTCTAGCTTCCAGTGGTCATTTCAGAGGCATTTAACAAGGGATTAGAAAGAAACCACAGGGATGTTTAAATTGCATAAAAGTATATGGTGAACAAGATTAAGTTCTTCTCAATGAAAAACATGAGTATGATTGGGTAAATCTTTAATGGGTATAACTGAGTCAATGCCATTTAATTGAATGGCACAAAGAGGTTGCTCAGTAAATGCTTGTTGGTTAAAATTAAACTCAATTATTTCCCCCCTTTCAAACTTCTCTTAGAGCTGTGACAAGAGTGAGATGCAAGCTGGGCAGTGGCCACCACTGTGCCTTAGTGAAATCAACCAACCCAGACACCCTATCATTCCGGCTCTTAGCTTTTCATTACTATGAAGTTAACGTGGTAGGTAAAAGTTGTAGAGAAACTGTAAAGCAGAAAAAGACCAAAGATCCATCTATCTGAAGCATTCAGAAGGAAGAAAAACACTTTAGGATTTACTTTGAAGGAACTCACATAATTATTAATACAATGGCATATTATCATAATTAGTAAGATTTATCATAATATATTAATAATATATAAACACTATCACATAATTCTTTTATTTATATATTATGTAGTTATTAATTATTAATTATGTTAATTGTTAAAATAATGGCATATGAGAAATCTATGGAGAAACCAGGCCAAGTTGGTCCACAGAACAATGACTCGTGTGTGTGTGTGTGTGTGTGTGTGTGTGTGTGTGTGTGAGAGAGAGAGAGAGAGAGAGAGAGAGAGAGAGAGAGAGAGGGAGAGAGGGAGAGAGACAGAGAGACAGAGGGTTGGGGGATGATATTAATGGAGCATTTGATATTGCCTCTGATCCTGTGGGTATTTTTTTTGAAGGAGCTAAAAGAAGTGAGAGTTATTTTCAAATGTTTATATTTATTATTTATTTAAATAATAAATTTATTTAAATCTGATTATAAGTTCTTTCCAATTGCTCTGCTTCTTTTAGATCACTTTTATTCAAACTTTATCTTTAAAATCAATTTCACCAAATTTTAGTAAATCCAACAAACTTTTATTGAGTGCCTCCCCAATCCAAAAGATGCATTCTAGTGTATAAGTGTTTAGAAAATATTCTGTGGTGTTCGTAGGCTTATGCTAATCATCTCAACTTCCTAAAGATAACTCCAGATTGTTTACTTCAATGTTTAATTGACATTGAAAATAGCGTTTACATTATTAGATTGCCTCGGATTGGAAGCTCTTATTTACCAATAAGAGAATTTCGCGTACTCCAAGCTGAGCCAGTTGACAAAACCAGAAATGTGAGAGTAACTCCCTCACCTTAGGTCAGTCAAACCCCAACCTCTGCATTCTTCTTCTGAAGTGGCTCTTGAAGCTCTCTCTACCTCACTCTTCCCAGAGGTATTTTCTGGGCTCAGGTTCTTAGTATTAGTCTGGAGCATTGCAAGAAACATCATGTTTAGCCTCTCTTTCACCGAGCTTTCTCCTCAACCTCGGCAAAGTTGACACTGGGGTCAGATCAGGATCATTCTCTGTCATGAGGAGCTGTCCTGTGCACTGT